ATTGGGTGCTTAATGGAAGCTGGGGTGGTTCACTCAGTTCCAGTCCTGCCCCTTATTGATGTTGCTGACACTTCTGACTTTTTGTCAGAATTTGTTTTCTGTGCTGGCTATATTCCCCTGTGGGCCAGGTGATGTTTGAGTTCATAGAATCTGTGACTCAGCCTCAGTCTGTGCTGCTGCCCAGATTTGGCATGTCTGTCTCCGCTGCTGTCTGTGTTGGGGCAGGCATGGTTAGTGCTCACATTCAGCTCTCTGTTTCTATTAATGCCTGCTTTTGTCTCAGCTATGATCCCCTGAAGGCTGGGTACTTCTTAGGCTCACTAAAGCAGTCATTCTGGCTCAGCTCTGTCCTGGGAGTATGCCATCTGTGTGTGTGTGTATTCTAGACTCCGTCCCCACTGTGCCCCACCCAGGCAGGTACTGCATCAGGCATACCCTTTACTCATGGGGCCAGTATTTCCATCCCAGATCTGTTCTGCCAGTGGATGCTATGGGAGAAGATGCCTGCCTTCCTCTGTTTGCCTAGAGAGGCAGGGAGTGTCTTTCCTAAATATCCCCAGGGGTGTGAGCCCTATTATTCCCACTGCTACTGCTTCTCTGTGCTGTGGAGCACTGCCTCTCTCTCTCGTAAGTTTCCCTTAGTCACTGTCTTCTTCTTACTCTCATGCTACAGAATCAGCACAGACCAGCAACAGTCCACGCTTTGTCCATACCTCTTGAGAAAATGCCCAAGAATCTGGACTCCATGGGGGACAGGCTTCCAGACTTCAGGGTGACAGTGGAGGGGAGTGCTGGGAGTTCAGAATTGAAGATAGAGAATATATACAGTTTTATCCCTGGCAGGAGAGTGCCATGGTACAATATTGTGTCCTCTTTGGGGAAGGAGTTCTGATTTTTAGAGGGTCTTTCCTGTGGGATAAAATAGGAGGGAATCTGGACTCTGCTCTCTTGTTTGTATGGAGAAAGTATACTGCAAGTTGTTCTCTTGGGGGAGGGGACTCCTGTCTGCTTGGTGATGGATTTTGTACCTATTGTTTCTTTCCTTGGGGTTGCAGCTCACCTCAGCAGGGTTGATGTGAGTTCTTCAACTTTCTCTTGGGTCAGCTCCAAACCATCAGCTTACTGGCTAAACTTCTGTTCTTTAACTCTCCTTCTGGATAGGAGCCTCTGTGGAAAGCTGGCTCCTGTCAGCCATCTTGCCTCTGCTCCCCACTGACTTCATTTTTGATATAAGAATAGGATGGCCAGAGAATATGGTAGGTCTGTTTTTGGTTTTTTGAAGACTCCTGATACTTTTTTTCTGTAGTAGCTCTAATAATTTATATTTCCACCAACAATATACTAGCATACTCCTTTTTCCACTCCTCACCAGCATGTGTTATCTTTTATCTCTTTTATAATGTCATTATAACTAGTATAATATGATTTCTCCTTGTGTACTTTATTTCCATTTCTCTGATGATTAATGATGTTGAGTGTTTTCTCATGTATGTTTTGGCAATTTGTTATCTTCTTTTGAAAAATATCTATATTATTTGCCCATTTTTAAAATTAAATTCCTTGTTTCTTGGTTATTGAGTTATTTCATTCCTTTTGTATTTTGGTTATTACTCCTCTGTTGAATAGATAAGTTTGCAAATTTTCCTTTCATTCCTTTGGTTGTCTTTTCTTCACTCTTCACTCATTTCCTTTGCTTTGCAGAAGCTTCTTGATTTGATGTAATTATATTTATCTATTTTTGTTTTAGTTGCCTGTGCTATTGAGTTCTTACTCAAAAATATCTTTGCCCACATCAGTATCCTGAAACATTTTCTCAATATTTTCTTTTAGTAGGCTCATGCCTTACATTTAAATCTTTAATTAATTTTGATTTGATTTTGTATATGGTGAATGACAGGAGTCTAGTTTCATTCTTTTGCATACGAAGATTCAGTTTTATCAGCTCCACTTCCGGATTGAAGAGACTATCCTTTCTCCAATGTATGTTATTGGTGACTCTGTCGAAAATGAGTTGTCTGTAAATACGTGGATTTGTTTGTGGATTCCCTATTCTGTTTCATTGGTCTATATGTTCATCACAATTATTCTTTGGTTACTATATCTTGTATTTTGAAGTCAGGTGTCATGCCTTCAAATATAGTCAGGCATGTCACCTGACTTCAAAATATAGTGTGATGGGTGGTGCCTATGGCTCAAAGGAGTAAGGTGCCAGCCTCATATGCTGGAGGCAACAGATTCAAACCCAGCCCCCGCCAAAAACTGCAAAAAAAAAAAAATAAATATATATATAGTGTGAAGTCTCCAACCTTTTTCTTCTTTTTTTTTTTGGTCATAGGTACCAATCCTATGACAGCTTTGTTCTGTTTGCTCAGAATTGCTTTGGCTATTTGGTGCAGTTTATGTCATACAAATTTTAGGATTGTTTTTTCTATTTTTGTGAAGTACATCATTGGCATTTTGATACAGATTGCATTGAACCTATGGATTCATTTGTGTCATTTGGACATTTAAAAAATGTCAATTGTTCCAATCTATGAACATGGGATATTTTTCATTTTTTGTTCCTATCAATTTCTTCATTGGTGTTTTACAGTTTTCATTATTAAGATATTTCACTTATCTGTTTATATTTATTTCTTCATTGTTTTTAATTTTTGATTTTTTGAATCAAATATTTCAAGCAATCACTAATTTTTTTTTCTTCCTAATCAAATATGTTGTCAAACCCTCTAGTTTTTAAATTTATTTATTATATTTCTCATTTCCAAAGGTTCAACTTCTTTCCTGGTATTCTAATTTTGTTCATGAATAATTTTATTCATTTTGTTTAATTGTCTGTGTTCTTTTATTGAATAACTGAACATCTCTAGGAATTTTAAATTTTTTTCAGGTAATTTTGTAATTTTGTCCTGGTCAGTTTCTAGAGATTTGTTTTGTTCCTTTGACTGGGCAATGATTCTTTGTATGTCTTGTGATATTTTATTAATATTTGAGTATTTCAAAAGATAGCTTCCTCTCTCAGTGTTTATGTACTATTTCATATAGGGAAAGTCTTTTATCAAACAGCCTGGGTACAATTTCTGAGATATTTCAGGGATATACATTCTCTAGAGTTGTGTGTTTATTTTTATTCCAATTTATATTGCTATTTTTAACTGTCTTAATTTTAATGTCCTTAACAGCCCTATAGCTTTTGGTTTCACTTCTTACTGTATACTCTGTCTTATCCTCTCTTGCTACACCGGCATCTGCTGAAAGAATTTCACACTCGCTGATGTTCTACAGGGCTGCCTTTGTTCTACAGATTGCTTTTGTTTTTGGCAGACTCTGACAATGCAGCATTATAATGACACTACTACTCCCATCAGAGCTCCAAGTAATAAATTAGTTCCTTGGGAAGCTTTCACACAAGCCAGAATATTAGTTAAAAATTTTTCTTTTCTTTATGTCCCAAAGAATAAGTCTGAATTGAGAGATTTACTCCTGATTGCTCTATGCCATGTAGAGTAAGTGGCTATGGTAAGAAAAATGCCATGAACTTCTTCTACCTTTCAGTACAGACTACTGGCTATGCATTTACTTAAGTGCTACAGCTTCCCAACTGGTTTCTAGAGTTCTCATAAAGATATTTTCATCTAAATATTGATGCTAAATAGAGTATCTGTTAGGGAATGAGCTGGAGCTTCCTTTTCTACTATCTTGCTGATATCACACTTACCTCCTACCATTTTTAAGTTACTGTTTTGTTTATTGCACCGCATGCTTGTTGTAAGTCTTTACTTTCTAGAGTACTGACAAAGTGGTTCTAACATGTTTTGCTTGTTTCTCAGTTTTTCTGCAGATAAACTGAAGCTTAAAGTTGCCTATTCTGCCATTTTGTTCCAGAAGTTTGCTTTGGGCTAGATCTTGTTGTATCAATAGATTGAGAGTTGATTCAAGCATTCTCAGTGAGGAAAAGGATATGAAGACAGGCAGATGACAAAGTTAATAATGTATGTTCTGCGATAAAACATAAAGCATGAACTCTGATGCAAGATAACTTATGTAAAACATGTCAACTACATATATTATGCATATCTTATTGTGAAAGTAATAATAATTTAAACTATAACCTTGTGATGTTAAAGTAGTAATTATTTTAAAAATAATTTTAACTGAAATTTAGAGTTAGTTTAAATACATAAAATAGCTGAGAATATGGTAGTGTTTGTTGCTCCTGACCTAGTTTTGACATCACTCTTTGTCTCAAAGGAGAGGCTGTATTAATTCAATTCCTAGGCTCAGCCTTGTCCCTGGTTCTAGGAATTGTGCTAACCTCACGTTTAACACTAGATTCCCTGTCTTTGCTTTTCACAGGTCCTCCTTCCATGGATTTCTATTGCTCTCAGCATAAATTATAAACTTCACAGTAAGCTTTCACCAAATTATTTTATTATTTCTCCTTTTCATTATTCATCCAATTTCATCCTTTGCCACTATTTTTATTTCTTCTCTGATGTAGTTATACAGCTGTTCTCAGATTTCAAGTCTTAGTTTTTGCTTATCTCTATAATATTATTCTTTCCTTTCTTTATAGCCCTTAATTACTCCTTTTCTTTTCATATTTGATATCCCTTCCCTCTTCCTCAGCCCAAGATATGATTAGCATAATTTTATTGGCTGACTAGTACTCTATAAGTAACATCTCTCTTCTTAAGCTATATTGTAAGTTCCAAGTTTCTTGTATAGCCCCAGAATATAAAATTAAGACTAATGACTTTGTAATCACCATTGTATTGTCAATTCCTATATAAATACATGAATGCAAATATTTTGATTGAATAAATAATAAATTTACTAAATAATCTAAAAAATTGTGGTGCTAAATACCTGACATTTTAATAACAATTATAATTTTAGGTATCACTGAAATGACAACATATTTACCATCAAAACTCAGCGATTGATTTCCAGTCTTAGAAAGAACTTGATCTTTGCTTTTGTTAGAGCTGAATACATACCTGTGAGAATAGACAAAGTTGCTGTCTTTCCTGACCCATTATGTCCTAGGAGAATAGTGATTTGCCCCTCATACACATTCAAAGACAAATCGGTTACTAATTTTCTTTTTCTATGTTCCTGTGAGATATAAGAAAGAATAACTTTATATCACTATCACTTATGAAAGAAAACATTTACACTGCCTAAAGAAACAAAAATGTATCATCAAATTCATATCTTTAGGTGCATTAAGTTGTGTGTTATTGAAAATAAATGTGGAAGCAAAATCATTTATCTACTTTTGATGAGGAAAACAGAAACCTCTTTATATTCTATGTATAAAGGTTTTTAAATAGTAATTGTTGCCTTACTCAACCTTACTAAGAGATGGGGGTTAAAAGCCATGGCTAGATCACCAGGATATCTAGGAAAAAAGAAAAGAGTGTGGGCTCTTAGCAACTAATACCACTGATCTTTGTGGTAACCTTGTAGCCCCTGCCAGTGGCCCCACCTGACTGTGGAACTCAGACGGTGGCTCTATTAGACCACAGACACAAGTTAACAGCCCCACCCAGCTTTAGATTTCCTCTAGGTGGTCCTCCCAGCTAGACAAACACAGAATAGCAAAATATCGTAATGATGGCACATAAATCAATTTTAATCTGAGCATAAAAGTTAAAAGACTAATATATTAAGAATAACTAAAAGCACAGAAACTTGTTAATGGACATGCAACAAAAAGAGATAAATTCTATATCAAACATAAAAGGTGCATAGTGGGAATAAAAGTGTAGAGCTTTTGTATACGATTGAAATTATTTGTATCACACTAAATCAGATAGCTGTAAAAGTTTCGATGAAAGCCTCATAGTAACCACACAGAAGAACACAGAATATTCACAAAAGACAAAAATAATCAAAGCATACCACTATTAAAAAATCACCAAACTGGAAGGGCCGAACTAGGACTGATCCGGCTGCTGCCAGTCTCCTGCCCCCTAGTCTCTCTGGCAGGCTGAACGAGGTCTAATCCAGCCACGCACACTCCCGTGCTGCTGCTGCAGTTCCACTGCACCCTGATTGCCCCAGCACCCGAGAACTGGGAGAAGACAAGAGACACGCTCTGCCTGTCTCTCTGGGCAACCAGAAGAAGCCACCAACTGATCAGTTCTGATAAGGCCTCCAAACAAGGTAAACTCAGCATGGGGTGGAATCAGAGGAAAAACTCTGGCAACTCGAATAACCAGAATAAATCAACTCCTCCAAGGGAAAATGGGGCAGATGCAGTTGAAGACTCCATCCACAAGCAAATGGCTGTGATGTCAGAAATCGAGTTCAGAATGTGGATAGCAAATAAGATTAACAGAGTGGAAGAAAGAAGGAATTAGGAGTTCAAGAAATTATTCAAAAGATTTCTCAAGAAATTATTCAAAATATATCTCAAGAAATTATTCAAAAGATGTCTCAAGAACTCAATGATTTCAAAGATAAAATGATCAAAGATTTTGAAACACTGACACAAGAGGTTGCAGCCCTCAAGGATCTGAAAGACACAGTGGAATCCCTCCATAACAGAGTGGAACACGCAGAAGAAAGGCTCTCTGATTTTGAAGACAAAGCTTTTGAAGAAGCCCAGGAGCGCAAAGATCAAAAGAAATCGAGAGCAAAAACAGATCTCACTCTCAGAGAGCTCTCAGATAATTCGAAGAAAACTAATATTCACCTTATAGGAATCCCTGAAGGTGATGAAGTTGCTTCACAAAACACAGAGGCTCTTCATGAAATTATGAAAGAGAACATGAAAGAGACATGCCAAGAGATTCTGAAATTCAGATAGCAGATAGTTTCAGAAACCCAGCATGACTCTACCCGAACAAGACATCCCCCAGACACATCATAATTAACTTTACCAAAGTTAAGATGAAAGAGAAAATTTTGAAAGCAGTCAGACATAAGAAAACCATAACCTACAAGGGGAAGAGTATTAGGATGACTGCAGATCTCTCGGCTGAAAGCTTTCAGGCTAGAAGAGGATGGTCATCGACTTTTAATCTCCTAAAACAAAACTTTCAACCCAGGATCCTGTATCCAGCTAAAATGGAAGCCCCTCTCCTCCTTTGCCCTGAACATTCTACTTTGGCTTCATGTGCTTTGAAGGTCCTTCCCCATATTCCAGGAGCAACTTGAGGGTCTCAGCTACCTTCACCTGAGCGTCTGGAGGCTAGTCTGGTGGTTGATATGACCTGGGACTCAAACCTGCCCTTTAATCTTCTGAGGCCTAGTCCAAGGTGGCTGCCAGATTTTTTATTGTTTCTTTGATCTTGGTACTTGATATTGGTCTGTTCAAGAGACTTATTTCTTTATGGTTAAGTCTAGGGAGGTAGTTTGAATCCAGGTATTGGTCCACTTCCTCCACACTTTCAAATTTCTGGGCATAGAGTTTCTTTCTTTTTCTTTTTTTTTGTGACAGAGTCTCAAGCTGTTGCCTGGGTAGAATACTGTGGCATCATAGCTCACAGCAACCTCCAACTCTTGGGATCCAGTGATCCTCTTGCCTCAGTTTTTCTATTTTTAGTAGAGATGGGGGTCCTCAGGCTGGGCTCAGACTCATGAGCTCAAGCAATCCACCTGCCTCAGCCTCCCAGAGTGCTAGGATTACAGAATGAACAGCATAGACTTTCTTGTAGTAGTTAGAGATAATCTCTTATATCTTTGTGATATCTGTTGTTATTTTCACTTTTTTATTTCTCCTAGAGGTTATTAGAGATTTTATTTTTCTGTTTCTAGTTAATCTGGCCAAAGGTTTATTGATTTTATTTATCTGTTTGAAGAACTTTTTTTTCATTAATTTTTTCCTTTTATTCATCATTATTTTTTTTAATGATTCTTTTGTTTTCCATTTCATTTATTTCTTATTGAGTTTTGGTTATTTCTTTTCTTCTACTAGGTTTGAAGTTCAATTACTCTTCCTTTTAAGTTTCTTTGAGATGACTCATTTGGTTGTTAATGTGCTTTCTTTCTGTTTTTCAGATGTAGGTACCTATTCCAATAAATTTCCTTTTTAGGACTGATTTTTCAGTGCCCCATGGGTTGTGGTAGCTTGTGTGTTCATTGTTGTTATGTTCAAGGAAGTTAATGATTTCCTTCTTTGTTTCTTCCTGTCATTCAGCATAAGGTTGTTTAATTTCCATGCCTTTGTATGGGGATGATAGTTTTTGTTGAGTTCCACATTTATTGCCTTGTGGTCTAAGAAGATACAAAGTATAATTTCAGTTCTTTTAACTTTGTTGAAGTTTGATTTGTATCCTAGGACATAATCTTTTCTGGAGAATGTTTTACAGGCTGATGAGAATAACATATATTCCCTAGCTTTGGGCTAGTGTGTTTTATATATATGTATATTAAGCCTATTTGTTGTAGGGTCACATTTAAGTCCCTTGTATTTTTGATTATAGGATCTGTCCAGTTCTGCCACATGGGTATTAAAGTCCCTCGCTCTTATGGTGTTATGGGATATCACATTGCTCAGAGCAATCAACATCTGTTTCATAAATCTGGGAGCACTTAAATTGGGTGCACAAATATCTAGAACTGAAATGTCCTTTTCTTGTACTATTCCCTTGACTGGTATGACATAACCATCTTTGTCTTCCTTAACTTTAGTTGCTTTAAATCAACTTGTACCTGACAATAAGATTGTGACCCCTCTTTTTTTTCTGATTTTCATTTACCTGAAATACTGTTTTTCATCCATTTACCCTGAGTCTTGATTTGTCCTTCAAGTTTAGGTGTGTTTCCTGTAGACATATATGGATGGCTTGTGCATTTTTATCCAATCGGCCAGCCTGTGCCTTTTAAGTGGGCAATTCAAACTATTGATATTTATTGAGAGAATTGGTAAGTGTGGTAGTGTTCTATTAATCTTATTCTGTGAAAGTCTATTGCTTAGTTATCCTTTGCACCATTGTGGAAGCTAGGTTTTGTCCTTTAGTTTCTGGGTGTTTAATTTGGTGTTGGTCCATCATCATGATCAGTGTGTAGAATAGGTCTAAGTATTTTATGTAGGACTGGTCTTGTGTTGAATTTCCTTAATGTTTGCATGTCAGCAAAATGTTTGATTTATGAATCTATTTTAAGCTTAGTTTAGCAGAATACAGAATTCTGGGCTGAAAATTATTTTGTTTAAGAAGATTAACGGTAGATGACCATTCTCTTCTGGCTTGGAAAGTTTCATTTGAAAAGTCTGCTGTCACCCTGATGGATCTGCCTCTGTAGGTCAATTGTTGCTTACTCCTGGCTGCTTGTAGATTTTTCTCTTTCATCTTTACCTTGGACAAATTCATTACAATTTGTTTTGAAGACACTTTCTGTTGAAATAACTCAGGTTTCAATATCTCTCTATAAGAAGAGTTTCAGAATATTTAGTGAAACTTGGGAAATTTTAATTAATGATATCCTTCAGTAGGGGCTCCCTTCCTTTGGCATGTTCTTCTTCCTCTTCAAGGATATCTATAATTTGTATACTTAAATACTGTGTGAAGTCCCATAATTATCTGAGAAAACACTGTGCTTCTTTTCTGCCTTTTTAACTAAACCTGGGTTAGCTAAAAGCTTTATCCTCTAACTCTGAGATTCTTTCTTCCCTATGGTCTAATCTGTTATTGAGATTTTCTACTGCACCTTTATAGTCTTTGATTGACTCCTTCAATTCCTTAAATTTCACCATATGTTTTCTATATTTTGATATTTTTCATCAATTTTTTTGTTTGTTTTTCCACATTCTCATCAATTCTCTTTACTGCCTTTGCCATCCATATTTTAATATCCCTTTTTGTCATTTCCATTAATTCTCTTTGTTGTTGTTTTTTTTTTTTTTAGATTTTTTTATTGTTGAGGATTCATAGAGGGTACAAGAAACCAGGTTATACTGATTGCATTTGTTAGGTAAAGTCCCTCTTATAATCGTGTCTAGCCCCCAAAAGGTGTGAGATCCCTCTCCCTCCATCCCTCTCACTGCTCTTCCTTCTCCCACCCCCTTCCTTCTCTCTGCTCATCCTTTCCCTCATTCTCCTCCTTTCTTCTCTCTTTCTCTCTGCTCTTCCCTTCCCTCATTCCCCACTATCTACTAGGTCATTAAT